AACTGAATGCAAAAAAAGTGTTCTTTGTGTCAATTCAGCTTCAGTGACTATCCACAACAGGTTTAACTGATGGTGTCACAATAATCTTAGCATCGCATGCTAAGTGATAGGAAAGTTCTGCATTTTAACCTGATGGATTGACTAGACGTTCAATCGACACTGAACGCCCATCCCTGACCTGAAGTGTTAACGACAGAAGACACTGCAAAGCTGTTACCCACCCCTCTCTTGCTAGAATACCCTCCCAATGGGGGAAACGGGCTACTATTTGCATCAGAAGTTTACTTATCAGAGCCATCTAACTTTTAAAAGCGGTGTGTATCTACCAGATAAATACACCCACCCCACAAGTCTCTTGAGGCATCTTAAAGGCTGGTGCGTTTATTACAGCGCAAGCTTGAAAGGACTTCCTGGAAGCCTCCATATAACAAAGGTCCACACGGCCTCATGTGATACGACGTGATTTAAACTCTAAAGAGCATAAAGAAGAGTTCTGAGTGCTCGGGAGGGTCCAGGGTGCCGGTGCCCCCGCACTGCACATCAGGACGGGCAGATACAAGGGACCGGGCCCTTGCACCGATAAGCAGCTGCGGAGCTTCAGAGGATACAGAGCCACGACGGTCACTTACAGGAAGGCAGAGTCTGGTTCAGTCTTAGGAAAGCGGCTGAACGGCAAGAGGCGCTAGGGAAATGGCGGGTTCCCCCGGAACGACGGGGGTCACGCAGACGACACAGAGCCGCCTGTCCTGTGCGCTGTGATGTGCAGCGGGCGGGCGGGGGCCCGGGGCCCCCTTCCAACGCCAGGGCTGTAAGAAGCCAGGGCAGCTTGCAAGGCGCGCCTGGTGCAACTGAGCTGGCCTCCTCTATGCAACTTTTAAAGGCGCAGCAACCCCGGACGCCGCTTGCACGTGCCCCCCCCCCCGGTGAAAATCCTGAGTTTCTTTACACCTCAGCGTGCATCTTTCACTCCGGCAATTACTCTCGAGCAACCGCAAAAAAGTCCCGCGAGCGATCAATCAGCCCCAACGCTCTGCCAGAGCCCCGCCCCGCCCCGCCGCTCCTCTCGCTCCAGCCCCTCCCGCTCCAATCCCTGCCCCGTTCCCCCGCCCCGCGCTCCTATTGGCTGCCAGAAACGAACGGCGGGCCGAGGAGGAAGAGGAGAGGAGAAATCCTTGCCCGCTAGAGCGGCTTCTTTTAGGTTCCGTTTCCGGAGACCGTGGGGGCTGACGGGAATCCCCGGATGTCCCGGAAGAGGGTGGAGCTGAAGCGGCCCGGTTGCGGGGGGAGGGGAGGCTCAGTTCAGGTCAGCAGGTGAGCACAGAAAAAAAAAGCATGTTTTTTTTTAACATGTATAAAAATATGTATTACATAGGTGTTGGCGTGTACATAAGGAGCAATTGAGGCACACGTAGGCACAGGCTGCACACACACATACATGCAGATGGTCATACACGCGTGTGGGTGAGGGAGCAGAGGAGAATGGAGGGGATCCCAGGGCCCAGGACAGGCCGGCCCGGGCTGAGGAGGGGGCCCTCGGTGACTGGAGGAGACTTCCTGGGGAAGAGAGAGGAGTCCTCAGGGGGAGGTGGGATGGCAGGGACCCTAGAAGGGGCTGCAACCCACGGGGCCACTGCAGCCGCTGGCCTTGGCTGGCCCCGTCTCAAAAAGCTAAGCAGGGCGGTCCTGGCCAGTATTTTGACGGGAGACCGCCGGGCATTCCCAGGACTCCAGGCTAGACTGGAAAGTGGGTGGGTGGGTGAGTGAGTGGGTGGGTGGGGAGGACCCCACCCCAGAAGGCATCGAAGGGTAGCCGAGAAAACGATTCGGGGGTGTGGATGTTGTCTGTGTGGGTGTCGTCGTTGGAAGTTGAGCTTGACAACTGGCAGTGGGGGAGCTGAGCATCTGGGTACTTCTCTGTGTGCCAGGACGGTCTGATGCGGGTGGTGCTTGTTTGGTTGTGATTTTGTTCTGGCGCTTTTGAGTCAGTGTCGACTCCTGGTGACTGCCTGGACGAGTCCCTGCGGTTTTCTCGGCAAGGCGTTGGGAGTGCTTTGCCATTGCTGCTTCTTCTAGGGCTGAGAGAGGGTGACTGGCCCAAGGTCACCCAGCTGACTTTGCGCCTAAGGCGGGACTAGAACTCCCGGTCTCCCGGTTTCTAGCCTGGTGCTTCACCACTTCCCCAAACTGGCTCTCCTTATGTTATTAAGGCCCCACTTTTGCCAGTAAATATGCTGTGAAGAAGTGGCTACCTTACTCGCATTCCAGTTCTATATATTTAGTAATGAAAACTTGACACTTTACTTAGTCCATATAGGGGGACTCCATCGCTTGGGATCCAATTCTTCATCAGTCTAATTCTCTTATTAAACATTTCCCCTAATAGGGCATGGGACAACAAGGAGGATGTCCAGGCTTTTTATTATTGTAGCTAAATTTGTATTCCATTAAGCTATAGTGTGTTGAATAAAGCACCCTGGTTGGGTTTTGTACTAAGCCAAAACCCAAACCACCATATTCTGGCTTAGCATGATGTAAAAAAACAATGTCTATATATTTACCAGAGAATAAAGCATTTCAAGTCAATAACATTTTCTTTTGACTAAGGATGCTTAGAATCATACTGTATATCTCCTACTAATATCTCTTGAATGATGTTTCAAGTGTCAATATAGAAACATTCTATGGAATTTTATCCTGAAAATGTTCATTTCTTAAAATTATTCTACCTAGTGGCAAGGGAAAATGGCACTTATAAGAGTATAAAAACTCTGTGCTAAGAGTAGTTACTTAAACAGCTTTTGGCTCATGTACAAAACATCCATATTTCATTTTCTTTTGGTGTAGTTAGTTACTCTTACAAGAATTTAACGTATGCTTTCATAAGATATTTAATAGTATGCAATTTTTGCCTCACAAACTTCAAGAATCAGGACTGGGAAAGTCATTACCATATGATTGAGGCAAAACTGGGCATATCTGTTATGCAATACATGTGAAATGATCCTTAATCCCATGTATTTGGCTAAAGGTTTATAACAGAGAGAAGTTGTATTTACTAACCATTTCCTAGGTGATTGTATCTGTAGTTGAATATTTCAAAATCATTTCTTTATTTAACTGCCATATGTCTAAGTTCCTTACTGGTGTATTAGATTATTTGACTTTTTTTTTTTATATAAAAGGTACAGTAATTGTTTATTTAGAATGCTGTTTTTCTTTTTGTGTCAGACCATAGATGAAGTAAACTGATTTCAGGCAAAACATGGCCATCTACAGCTGTAACATATTCCTTGCAGTAGCTAGGACCAGGTAAGAAATGAAATCTTGAATTCTGTGAATTATGTCATTATTTTAGATTTTTGAACTTCACCCC